TCGAACCGCCAACCTTTCGATCGGCAAGTCCTAGGCGCTGAGGCTTTAACCCACAGCGCCACCCGCGTCCCAACATAGCCAACATACTTAAGTATAATTAATGCACATGAGGGTTAAAACCATAGAGTTAAGATGTCTGGCCAGGCTTAGCTCACCTTGGGAGTCACTAGGTAATCAAGCCTTTTCCTCCTTGTTTACCTGATGAACTCAGCAGCTTAGCTGTATAGCTCTAACAAGCCCCTCCCGAGTTCCTATACCAATAATTTAGAAACTTTCATCACTTTGCAACTAAGCTCAGTTTGACTGCTTGTGCAACTTTTCTGACTAATGTATGGAAAAACACACGAACTTGACCTTTGAAGAGTTTGTAGGTAAACAGATTATTAACTTGCCAAACGTGTGGTCTTTTCATATGGTGGGGGAAGAGGGGTTTTGGAAACTCCCTAGAAGCAGATTTTGGCTGCCCATCAGGGAAGGCGAAAGTTCCTTTGAGTTGTCTTGAGAGGTGAGGGGCTCTCCTTCACATATAACTTTTAAAGCGGAGGTTTAAGCACCATCTCTCACGAAGGAGTCATATCCTGCAATTTGTAGGATTCCTGCACTGAACAGAAAGCTGGACTGTAAGTTCCATCTCTGACTTTAAAACCCAATGGAAACCAACCCTCAGAAATAGTGCTATTATCCATGTAAGAGCTAGTGTGGTGTAGTGGTTAGAAGTGCTGGACTAGGAGCTGGGAGACAAGGGTTCAAATCCGAACTCAGCCACGAAGCTCACTGACCTTGGGCCAGTCACAGTCTCTTATCCTAAGCTACTTCACAGGGTTTTTTGTGATAAAATGCAGAAGGGGGAAAGCCATGGATGCCACGTTGAGCTCCTTGAAGGAAAGGTGGGATGTAAATAAAACAGACCAAGGAAAAAGCTCTGGATAAATTCCAGAGTTATTAAGACCCTTACTCAGAGTACATGCCTGCCTGCTTTGAAACCTCCACCTTTGCTCTCCCAGTTCATTCTCAGCTGGGTCCCTGTGCTTTTAATGTGGCAGAAACTCACCTGGTGAAATGCTTTTGAACTGCTAGGTTGGCAGGAGCAGAGACCGAGCAACAGCAGCTCACCCCGTCGCGGGGATTCGAACCGTTGACCTTCTGATCGGCAAGTCCTAGGCTCTGTGGTTTAACCCACAGCGCCACCCGCGTCCCTATAAAGAGGTAATACTGCCCCCATAAATAAATGTGGGGCGAGATGTAGCAAAAGCCATGTGGGCTCAGACAAACCATACAATTCAAGAGTCTTGCGTTCTGCAGTAGCCTGGCAGATGCCTCTCAGGAAGCTTACGAAGCAGGGCATGATAGCAACAGCCCTCCCAAACTGCTGCTCCAGTTATGCCGCTGGTACTTGGGAGATAGACTGCTTCTGATCATGGAAGTTTCATTTGGCAATGGTGGCTAACAGCCACCACTGACCCTCCTCTGCCACACAATTCATCACATCTCCTTTTAGACTTCTCTAACCAGGTGGCGCTGTGGGTTAAACCACAGAGCCTAGGGCTTGCTGATCAGAAGGTCGGCGGTTCGAATCCCCGCGATGGGGTGAGCTCCCGTTGCTCAGTCCCAGCTCCTGCCAACCTAGCAGTTTGAAAGCACGTCAAAGTGCAAGTAGATAAATAGGTACCGCTCCTGTGGGAAGGTAAACGGCGTTTCCCCCGCCACTTAATGGATCCAATTGGCTTCCAGAGAGTGGTAGGGGATGCTTTATCCCAAGCTGATGGCCTTTCAGCTGATTCCCTGGTGGCACACTGGAATGCGGAGTTAACCAGGGCTATTGACTGTCTGGCTCCGAAGCGCCCTCTCTGATTGCATGGAGCCCGGACAGCCCCGTGGTTTTCCCCAGAGCTGAGGGTGATGAAACAATCGTTGAGACGGCTAGAGCGCCGGTGGCGGAAAACTCATTCTGAATCAGACCGGACACGGGCTAGAGCTCAACGTCGAGCCTACCAAGTGGCAATGGCAACGGCGAAGAGGGCCTTCTTCGCCACCTCCATTGCATCTGCAGAAAACAGCAGCAGGAGACTTTTTCAGGTGGTTCGCAATCTATCGGAACCACCTGTACCACCGGGGCCTGGTAGGGACCCCAAGATCTCCTGCAATGCTTTTGCAAAGTTTTTTGCAGATAAAATCGCTCAGATTCAGAAGGAGGTAGACTCCACCATGGGAGCAGGGCCAGGGCGGGAGAGTGCTAGTTCTGTCTGGTCCTGTTACATGGGATCAATTCCAATCTGTTACCTCCGAGGATGTGGACAGGCTGCTTGGACAAGTGAAACCGACCACCTGTCTCCTTGATCCTTGCCCATCCTGGCTGATAAAAGCGAGCCGGGAAGGGCTGGGTGATGGGCTCTGCGGGGTGGTGAATGCTTCCCTCTGTGAGGGAGCCTTCCCAGACCCGCTGAAAGAGGCAGTCATTAAACCGCTTCTTAAAAAAACATCTTTAGACCCGGCCAATTTGGCCAACTATCGCCCAGTCTCAAATCTGCCATTCTTGGGCAAGGTGATTGAGCGGGTAGTTGCTGAACAACTCCAAGCACGCCTGGAGGAAACGGACCATTTGGATCCCTTCCAATCGGGATTCAGGTCTCACCATGGGACTGAAACTGCCTTGGTCGCGCTGGTTGATGATCTCCGGCGGGCTAGGGACAAAGGTGAGAGCTGTTTCCTAGTTCTGCTGGATCTCTCAGCGGCCTTTGACACCATCGACCATAACATCCTTCTGGACCGTCTAGAGGGGCTGGGAGCTGGGGGCACTGTCATACAGTGGTTCCGCTCCTTCCTCCTGGGCCGTGTCCAGAAAGTGGTGGTGGGGGATGAGTGTTCAGACCCCTGGGCTCTCACTTGTGGGGTGCCTCAGGGTTCTGTCCTCTCCCCCATGCTTTTTAATATCTATATGAAGCCGCTGGGAGAGATCATCAAGGGGTTTGGACTGGGTGTTCATCAGTACGCAGATGACACCCAGCTCTACCTCTCCTTTAAATCAGAACCAGTGAAGGCGGTGAAGGTCCTGTGTGAGTGCCTGGAGGCGGTTGGAGGATGGATGGCGGCTAACAGATTGAGGTTGAATCCTGACAAGACAGAAGTACTGTTTTTGGGGGACAGGGAGCGGGTTGGTGTGGGGGATTCCCTGGTCTTGAATGGGGTAACTGTGCCCCTAAAGGACCAGGTGCGCAGCCTGGGAGTCATTTTGGACTCACAGCTGTCCATGGAGGCGCAGGTTAACTCTGTGTCCAGGGCAGCTGTCTACCAGCTCCACCTGGTATGCAGGCTAAGACCCTACCTGCCCGCGAACTGTCTCGCCAGAGTGGTGCATGCTCTAGTTATCTCACGCTTGGACTACTGCAACGCACTCTACGTGGGGCTACCTTTGAAGGTGACCCGGAAACTGCAATTAATCCAGAATGCGGCAGCTAGACTGGTGACTGGGAGTGGCCGCCGGGACCATATAACACCGGTTCTGAGAGACCTGCATTGGCTCCCAGTACGTTTCCGAGCACGATTCAAAGTGTTGGTGCTGACCTTTAAAGCCCTAAACGGCCTCGGTCCTTTATACCTGAAGGAGCGTCTCCACCCCCATCATTCAGCCCGGACACTGAGATCCAGCGCCGAGGGCCTTCTGGCGGTTCCCTCACTGCGAGAAGTGAGGCTACAGGGCCTTCTCGGTAGTGGCGCCCGCCCTGTGGAACGCCCTCCCATTAGATGTCAAAGAGATAAACAACTACCTGACATTCAGAAGACATCCTAAGGCAGCCCTGTTCAGGGAAGTTTTTAATATGTAACGCTGTACTGTTTTAACACTGATTGGGAGCCGCCCAGAGTGGCTGGGGAAACTCAGCCAGATGGGCGGGGTATAAATAATATATTATTATTATTATTATTATTATTATTATTATTATTATTATTATTATTATTATTATTATTATTCCGTGTGCTGCTCTGGTTTGCCAGAAGTGGCTTAGTCATGCTGGCCACAAGACCTGGAAGCTGTACGCCGGCTCCCTCGGCCAATAAAGCGAGATGAGCGCCGCAACCCCAGAGTCAGTCATGACTGGACCTAATGGTCAGGGGTCCCTTTACCTTTAACCAAGTGACGACGACGCCACCTCTCGTGGCAGGGGATCCTATGCATTTCTTTTGCATATCAAAACTGGGCTCCTTACATAGCTGTGACTGAAGGGGCAAGAGGGATAAAATTGAAACACACACTTCATCTGCTCGAAGGAATGTTTTTATTTGGGTAGCTTGTTTCGTATTGATCTTATTTCATGTTAGGATTTTAAAAACAAGTGCTTCGAAACATCCAGTTAAAATGGGTCTAAAAATTCTGAAAATGGCAAGCACTTGTTTTCTTTAAAGTCCACCCCCACCCCCCACATTAGCACCATTTCTAAAGACAGAATCAACGCACAGCATCAATGTTAAAAGGGGATTTCTACAACTACGGGCAGCACATTCCGGCTTCATTCACAAAAGTGGCTACACCAGGGGTTGTCAACCTGGTCCCTACCAGCCACTTGTTGGCGTTTCAGGATTCTAGGTGGGCGGTAGGGGGTTCTACGGCACAAGCTGAATCCTCCTTCCATCAAGCACTGGTGGGCAGTAAGGAAATTTTACCATCAAGAAAGATGCATTACTGGACGGTAGGTATAAAAAGGTTGACTTCTCCTTGGTTACACGATGGAGGGCTGCTCAAAGCTTTGCAGCTGTGCTTGGCAACCTTTTCGCTCCTGCAGTCTGATGTAACTGACTGGAGGTTTGCCGAGGAACTGCTGGGCCAACCATAGCACCTGGCGGGTTGCATTCGCCTCAGTGGGCCAAACAAGGCAAGATCCTGCTCTAATGCACAGCAAGTCTTTCATCTTCAAACAGGTCCAGCGGGGGAGTCCTGCCTGCAGAGGAAGCGGCTCCGTCGTCCAATACTTTTCACGACAACAACAACAACAAACAAAGTCCTTAACTTTAAAACACAACAGACAAAATTCACAACAGGTTTGGACTAATTCCTACCCTCCCTCCTTTTCTGCGAGGCAACTACGCCCACGAAAGCTGCCCCCTTACTGAGAATGGTTCAGCACATGGCTGTGTTCCTCACTGCTTTTCCTCCAGTTCCTCATCCGCCGTCAAAAGGTCTTCCTCGTCTTCCAGATCCAAGTCCTCCCTCGACCCCATGGCGCCTTGCGAGGAGGGCAGGTCTCCTAGAGAGAGCCTCCAGTCTTGCGGGACGAGGTGGCGATTCTTTCGGATGAAGGTCAGCATCTTCACGTTGGCCGGGGAGAGGTCCTTGGGGTGCCCCCTGTCCGCCAACGAACTGGCACCGCCGGAGACGTCTTCGGAGGGCACCGACGTGGGCGGGCACCCAAAATGGAACAGGGCCACCTTGAAGAGGGCCGGCCAGACCCCCATCTTCCCCTGCCAGTACAGCATGGGGTCGGCGTTCTCCCCAATGTGGTCCACGTTGTCGTGGAGATACTCCTCCATCTCCCGCAGAGCCGCCGCCGCCCCTCCCTCGGACGCCAGGCCCATGGCGGGGTCACTCTTGGTAATCGCCCGCCAGCGCTTCATGGTGAACTGCCACGCTGCCGAGCCGGGGGGTCCGCTGGAGCCGCTGGGCTGCTGCGGGGACGAGCGCCCCATCGGGGAGAAGTCGGCGTCGGGCCCCGGAGGTACGTAGGACCTGGTGGCCAAGTCGAGGATGTGCTCCCTCAACATGGCTGCGTCGCCCGTGTCAGCCCCGCCTAGCTTCATGGTGGTGATGTCCCTGAAGCGGGGGTCGAGGAAGGCGGCCACCCGGCAGATGAGGGTGCCCTTCATCTCGCTCAGCTGGTTTTGGGCTTCCAGGCAGTCCAGGGCCTGTGTGGTGAGGTGGGCCGCCGTGTTGTTGTTCTCCTGGTAGTACCTGGTCCTCAAGGCCCGCAGCTGCTCCTCCAGGAACCACAGCAGAGGGAGAGCCTGGCAGAGTGTGGCGTCTGGGCGGGTGACCAGTGTGGCAGCATCCTCAAAGGGCTTGAGGATCTCCACCAAACACTTCACCACCTTCCAGTCCGGCGGCGTCAGGTGCAGCAAGGCAGCCTCCTCGTCTTGCTCGAAGATGGCGCTGACGGCTTGCCGCTCCCGGTAGAGGCTCTCCAGCATCCGCAGCGTGGAGTTGGATCTCCGGGGAGGCTCTTGCCCTGCCGGCTGCCGGTGCGAGCCCAGGATGGCCTGTGCCTCCAGCAGGCGCCGCCGGACCACCGTCGAGCGCTTGTAGCGGGTGCAGATCCTCCGGGACGTCTTCAGCAGCCGGTCGACGTGGGCGTCGGCCGCCAAGAAGGCCTTCACCACCAGCTTCAGGCAGCGCGCCAGGCAAGGGACGTACTTGAGGCGCAGCTCGCGCACGGCCTTTGCCGTGTTGGCCCCGTCGTCCAGGACCACGCCCCCGGTCTTCAGGTCGTAGAGCCAGTCTTGCAGCACCTCCCTCAGCTTGTGGCAAATGTCCTCGGCGGAGCAGGGCCCCTCGAAAGCACACACCGACAAGGTGGCATGATGCCGCGAGAGGACGCCCGCCGACTCGGCCACCCAGTGCCCCGTCACCGACATGTAGGAGGCAGTCTGCCACCCCGACCAGGTGTCTATGGCGATGTGGACCGTACGGCCCACGCTGCCCACCACCGCTTGGCGGACAGCTCGGGACACCACTTTGGACAGCTCGGGCACAGCCTTCGTGGCGAAGAACGCGCGCCCAGGGATTTTCCAGCGGGGCTGGGCGGTGGCCATCAGCCGGCGGAACCCGTCGCTTTCCACGTATGACGGGGGCTGCATGTCCACGGCGAGCATCCAGGCCGTTTCGGAAGCCAGCTGGATGGCTGCTGAGTGCGTCGGCGGGTAGTACGGCTGGTTCCTCTCCTGGCGCGCGGGCTGGAAGGCCGGGGCAGGTGGCTCGGTCACCACAATGGTCGGGCCGTGTGGCCTCTCCTTCAGGGGCATCAGAGGCGAAGGAGGGACCACTGCGACACCCGGCAAGTGCAGCCCGTGGTGCACCTTCAGGTGTTTGTGGAGGGCCGTGGTGCCAGGGCGGGTGCCCCCGTCCTTGCCCCTGCGCACCCGCTTCTGGCAAGTGCTGCAGACGGCCACACACGGCTCCCTGGGATCCAGGGTGAAATAATCCCACACGGCCGAGGTGGTTTTCTTGGGGGCATGCGTGGGGATGCCGTCCACCACCAGCACTTCCCGCTCGCGCCCGCGCTTGTGATGGTGATGGTGGGAAGAGGCCGAGACGTGCGTCATGGGGGTGAAGAAATGCACCATCTCGATGCCCGCCCTGCCCATGGTGCCGGCGGGCATGTAGGTCCCTGGAGGAGCAGACTGCGGGTGGAGGACGTGGGGCGGGGAGAACGAGACTCTCTCAATGACCTCCTCTCCGTCGTCGTCGTCCTCCTTCTTGAGGTACGAGAGCATCTCTTGAGCCTCGGGGTGGCCGGGCTCCTTCGCCCCCAGCTGATTGGATGCCGCCGGAGAGAAAGCGGCCAGCTCTGCCGCGTCCTCGTCCTCCTCGTCTTCTTTCTCCTTCAGGTAGGAGAAGAGGTCGTGCACGGTTGTCGTCGACGGGCCGGGCTCCTCCTCCTCCTTCATCGCCGGCTGCAAAGACACCGCCGGGGCAGCCATGACGGGGAACGGTTCCCGGGAAACACCGGATTCCGACGCGCCCGAGAAATGAGGCTCCTGGAGGTGGAGGGCCACGCCTCTCCGGGTAAAAGTCGCCAGCTGGGCTCTTCTGCCCCGGCCGCGCCTTGGCATCATGGCAGAGGAGCCCTGGGAAGGGGAGGAAAAGGAACACAAGCGTTTCACTCCAGGCAGGTTCCCTCTGATCACTCAAAGCCTAGCAGCTTCTTTTAAAAGCAGACACTCAAATGCAGGAAAGAAAGGGCAATGTGCTGTCCCGCCTGCATCTCCCCTCCCATAACCACAACTTTTCACACCGCAAGGGTGGGACATCTTTGTCAGCTCAAGGTTCTCATTACCATCTGGGCAATCTTTCATTGAACGTAATACAGTGGTGCCCTGCAAGATGAATGCCTCGCAAGACGAAAAACTCGCTAGACAAAAGGGTTTTCCGTTTTTTGAGTCGTTCCGCAAGACGAATTTCCCTATGGGCTTGCTTCGCAAGACGAAACATCTTGCGAGTTCTTGCGAGTTTGTTTCCTTTTTCTTAAAGCCGCTAAGCCATTCATAGCCGCTAAGCCGCTAATAGCCGTGCTTCGCAAGACGAAAAAACCGCAAGACGAAGAGACTCGCGGAACGGATTAATTTTGTCTTGCGAGGCACCACTGTATCTGATGGCCTATTAAATGTGTTCCAAAACTGTTACTACTTTGCTTTTGTTCTTATCATAGAATTGTAGAGCTGTGTGAGACCCCGAGGGTCATCTAGTCCAACCCCCTGCAATGCAGGAATCTTGCCCACAGCTGCCCCTGGGTGGGCTCAAACTGCCGACCTTCTGGTTAACAGGCAGATGCACTGACCCATTGTGCCACTATGTATTTTCTGTGTTGTTTTTTCTTGTGAACTGCCCTTACATCTACCGATGAAGAGCAGTAGGTAAATTATAATAATAATAATAATAATAATAATAATAATAATAATAATAATAATAATACAGTGGTATGGTACCTCGGTTTACAGATGCTTCAGGTTACAGACTCTGCCAACCCAGAAATAGTACCTCGGGTTAAGAACTTTGCTCCAGGATGAGAACAGAAATCGTGCGGCGGCCCCATTAGCTAAAGTGGTACCTCAGGTTAAGAACAGTTTCAGGTTAAGAATGGACCTCCAGAATGAATTAAGTTTTTAATCTGAGGTACCACTGTAGTGGTAGTTACAGGTAGGTAGCCGTGTTGGTCTGCCGTAGTCGAAACAAAAGAAAAAGAAAAAAAAGAAAAACATTTCTTCCAGTAGCACCTTAGAGACCAACTAATAACTAACTTAGTTGGCCTCTAAGGTGCTACTGGAAGGAATTTTATTTTATTTATTTATTTTGTTTTGTTTCAATGATGATGATGATGATGATGATGATGATGATGTAGCCCTGGTTGAAGGAGCCATTTGACGCCTAGCTTTTATATCTGAGTTTCTAATTCTGTTCTGCACCCACCACCATATAGGCCTCAGAATCCTGGCTACACCAGACTCGATCCCTGACCTCTCTTGATTGATCGGACACAGGTTCGACTCCTCCAACCAAGGTTGTGCGGACCCTGGCTAAGCTATGCTGCTCCTCTGAGAGGCTGAGCCACCGGTGTGATAACGGAGCTTCTTGCACTGGTCTGGTGGTGCCAGCGTGGCCCACTCCTCTCGTTTCATCTCTTCAAAGCATAGACTTCTCAATAGATAGATATTAGATAGGTCAGATCTCTGCCTCCAAGAGGCTTACAATACAGTGGTACCTTGGTTCTCAAATGTCTTGGTAGTCAAACAACTTGGAACCCAAACACTGCAAACCCATGTTGTAAACAAAATCTGCCCTTTTTTCCTTATGGGGTATCCAAGAGCCCATATAGAGTCCTTACATAGGTTCCCTATTGGTAGGAGAAAATAACAGAGGCCAACCAAAGACTATTGAGAAGCAAAGCAGCTAGTAAGCTTGATCTTTATTGATCTGTTGCAACAGGGTGCTCCCCTCACCCAGGAAAGGAGGAGGAACCCAGAACAATGGCGCGCAAGGCCTTACATAGACTTTTGAAATTGCTACCCTGTAGATCAAGACCACCCCAGAAACATCATACATCACAGAAGGGGTATAGCTCAAGACCACCACCCCATATACATCATACCTACATCACAGAAGAGGTGGTCTAAAACAGAAAATTGAATGTTGTTTTTCTCCAGTTGTTGTTTATCTCCTGTCTGGCAGGTTACTTGATTGGATACCCTGCTTACTTGATTGGATTGCCTGGGGAACCTGGCCAGTCTTTTGTAATGATAAATACTTTGTTCCTGGGCCAGGTCACAGGCTCACACCCTATTCATATCTTAAATGTGCCCCTAAAACAGGGTTTGTGAAGGAAAAGACAATGGGGAGGTTTCCCACTTTGACCTTGCAGAGAAATCATTTGCTCAGTTTGGGAATCAAAATGGTTTCAGGTCGGTCTTCCTGTGCTGATCTATGTACGTGCTCGGTTGGTACTTATGAACATTTAACATATACCTAAGACCTCAACATTCCTATCACACCCAGAAGTAAGTGTTCCTGTTTGCCAACTTTTTTCAGAAGCCGAATATGCACCGTTTTGAGTGTTACGCTTCCGATTTGAGTGACACACTTCCGTTTTGCGTGTTACGCTGAGATCTGTCTGCTTTTGCTATTTATTTTGCATTTTGGTTTTTGAGGCTCTTTTTTTGTTGACTGTGTGGAACCTAGTTCATCCACTGATTGATTGATTGATTGATTGATTGTGAGACTGCAGTACATTGTTTATTGCTTTCATTTTATGGATCAATGGTCTCGTTAGATAGTAAAATTCATGTTAAATTGTTATTTTAGTGGACTTTTAAAAGTCTGGAACGAATTAATACGTTTTGCATCACTTTCTATGGGAAAGCGTGCCTTGGTTTTGGAATGCTTTGGTTTTGGAGTGGACTTCCAGAACGGATTAAGTTTGAGAACCAAGGTACCACTGTATAGAAGTCCTCTATTTTCATCGGATAAATGTTGGAAGGGGCGTTAGTATTGTCTACTACCAGCAGCTTTCTGGGGGTTTCGGCCAGGCAGGCAGCATCCCCAGCCCTACGTCCCTATGCGCCTTCTACATGCATAGCACATGCTTCACTGCTGAGCTACAGCCCTTGGTGGTAGAGGTGCCGCTACTCTAGAAGTAAATCCCTCTCTTGAGAAGTTCACCCAGCGTAGCCTTTTGCAGACCTCCTCCAGGAGCAGGAACAAAACATTCTCCAAAGGTGTTTAAAGCTGGTTGGGAAATCCCACCACCGATTTTCCTTTCTGAGCACCTTGACCAGCAGCTCTTGGATAGCAGGAACAACGAAGTCTGCCCCTTGCTGGGCTCAAAACTCTCCCTCCCCAACCAGCATGCCCAATGGTCAGGGAGAATGGGAGCTGGAGTGCAGCAGCATCTGGAGAAACAGAGGGACACCCCCCCCAGTATTGTTCATATCTATCTATTCTGATTGTCTATCGACATATTGTTTTGAATTATTTTTCAATATTGCTTTTTTTTTAAATGCTGTAACGCGCCCTGTGCACTTAGGGTGCACAGGCAGGTAATTAATAAACAAAGGAACAATATTGTTTCATTAAACCAGTTAAAAGTCTTTCAACATGAAGGGAAGCAGGATAGAGAAGTTCCCCTAACACGGGAAATGTAGAGAGACTAGCTCTAGCCTACCTTACAGGGTTGTTGTAATTTAATTTTTTTAGATGCTAGAGAAATATGCGTGAAATCTAAAACGTTACTGCTGAAGAGAACAACAGATAAATAAATAAATATTTTTAAAATGGGGGGGGGGAATCACCATTGCTACGCCTTCCCCCTCCCTCCTCCCCGCAGGCGTATTCTTTAACTGAACTCTCAGTGGCTTAAAAGGAGATGCAACGCCTTTCTCTGATACCGAAGCACGAGAGACAAAAGCGATCTTCGCCCTTAAAAGCGGGACACACTCACCAATCCAAGATGGAAGCTGCGCCGACTATCAGGAACAACCCAATCCCTCAGTTATTATTATTTTTTTGCAGAGATGGCTTGCAAGTAACGATACGCCTTATTGCAGAAAGACGCACACGCGCAAAACGACGCCCGATTTTAAAAATACAGGTTATCATTTATTTATTTTTTAAAATCTCGCAGGCTATCTATTCCAAAACGATATATAAAAACGTAAAAAAGGAACAAAAAGCACCCGGAAGAAAAACCTAACACCCGGATGTTAAAAAAAAAAAACTTACAGGAAACCTCACTTCCCATATTTCTTTTTTTCTTCCGCAAAATTCATTGCACGACCCACACTTTCGTAGGTTTGCTTGGCGAGGGATTGGGAGTGAGGTGTCGATTCTTGTGCATAGCTCCTCGGAAGCAAGCCCCACTGGGATTTACTCCTAGCGAGGTGTGTACAGGAGTGCATTCGCAGTCCTACACGTTTACTCACTGAATTTTTCTGGGGCATTAGTACCAGGCGGGTGGTGAAAGGAACTGAATCCAGCCCTTAGCGTAAATTCTCTTTTGCAATTATGCATCCTCGACAAATACTGCATGCTAAAAAAGGAGAGAAAAATGCAACGATTCCTTTGATCCTCCCTGCATGTGTTTTCCCGTCCCCTGCTCCAATTAAATCAACCCATCAGCCGGTATTTCTCATGTACGTAAAATAAATTCACGTTTCCTGCTTTTTAAAAATTTCACGGGATAAATGAACTACAGCCCTTAATTAGTTTCCTTATGAGAGCTTTGCAACCTAGCAACAGGCAAAAGTAGAGGAAAAGGCTGGATCTATCAATCGGATCTATCTAGGTCTGTTTGCTTGCTTTTCTAGTTAATATTTGAATATATAATCAGGGTGGCTTTTTAATTTGAGGCAGCAGCTGAAATGTTTAGTTCACAGGCCTCCCGGGCCGCCCAATAGCACGCCAGCGTTCGAATCCTGGTCATTTACATCCTTGGAACGCTGGAGAGTGACGCAAGCTCGTCGCCGTCCAATAGCGACGTCGCACTTTGGAGCCCTCATTTCCATAAGCGTCCTATAAATAAGGGAGCTCATCAACCGCACCACCACTCTTGCTTGAGGCTGCAGTTGTACGAGAAGACTGAAGATGCCTGAACCGGCCAAGTCCGCTCCCGCGGCCAAAAAGGGCTCCAAGAAGGCCATCACAAAGACCCAGAAGAAGGGCGACAAGAAGCGCAAGAAGAGCCGCAAGGAGAGCTACTCCATCTACGTCTACAAGGTGCTCAAGCAGGTCCACCCGGACACGGGCATCTCCTCCAAGGCCATGAGCATCATGAACTCCTTCGTCAACGACATCTTCGAGCGCATCGCGGCCGAGGCTTCCCGCCTGGCGCATTACAACAAGCGCTCCACCATCACCTCCCGGGAGATCCAGACCGCCGTCCGACTCCTGCTGCCCGGAGAGCTCGCCAAGCACGCCGTCTCCGAGGGCACCAAGGCCGTCACCAAGTACACTAGCTCCAAGTGAGCTGGGCGCCCATTTTTCGGTTGCCTGGGAAAGTGCTACAGAAACCCAAAGGCTCTTTTAAGAGCCACCCACTTTCTCATTTGAAAAGCGCTGTTACGCCTTGTGTTAACTCCCAAGTATTCCCCTCCCGGGTGGGTTCCTTTGGTATCCTGCTGTTGGGGTTTAGTAGGGAATAATAGGGAGGGGACAGGAAAAGATCGGCTGTATCTAACGTTACTCTTAAATCTGGGTCGACCAATTAATAGGTCTAATAATAGTGGTAATTATTACGGTCAAAGACCAGTTCATAATAGGTCTATTAGTCTGATTCCTTTATTTCAATGGGCCTATTTTAGTGGGGCGTAATGTTATCGGTGAAATAGTAAGTGTACATGCCTAAAATGAAAGGTATGGTGAGACTCGTTCCTTCTTCACCTGAAAGAACCTATAGGTTCAAAGCGCTGCTTTGCTATTTGGTCGGGAGAGACTTGAGTTTTCCCGCGTTCTTCCTACCCTTTAGCGGTTTCTGAATGGCGTTTCCCTAATGATTATTTCCTCCCCTCGCTATTAAATCCACGTTAGGGCGACAAAGCCATTTCCCCTCATTCTTTTTCTAAAGGCGCATGACAATTCGGTCACGGCTGCAATCTTTGTCGCTTGCTTCTGAGTAGGTCTCATTGAACTGAATGGGGTTTGTTTCTGAAGTAGCCTAGATTGCGCTAGAAATGCAGGTCCTAACCCGGCACTAAACAGCCAGGTGGAAGTGATGCCCGAAGCTATTAAGCTATTGCGTTTATGTGATGCGATCTGCTTGTTTTAAAGAATGAAATCTTTGGCAGCAAGACAGCCAGCGAGTGATAAACTGTGTTTGAGAACCCGTTTACCAGCAGCCCGGCTAGCTCAGTCGGTAGAGCATGAGACTCTTAATCTCAGGGTCGTGGGTTCGAGCCCCACGTTGGGCGCGAGATTTTTCTTTACATTCTTTGGGAAAATATATACATCAAAGACCACGGTGGGTGAAGGTTGCACGGTGCAAGCTCACGCTCTTTGCACGCGTTTCCTGTATTGAAATAGTAATAAGTGCCAAAGACAGAATATTATGGACAGATGATGAACTGTGTCACATAGCATAACTTTTAAAAAGGGCCTATATTGCATCTTGTATCCATGTCTTTTTAAAATACGCTCTTCATCAACACTTATATGACCTAGGTATTCCCCATTTCCCACCTTTTATTAAAGAGTCTAGTGCCACAAGTGGTTTCTGTTTCTGGAGACTGTGTCTGCTATGAAACACAAGAAGCCAGAAAAATATCGACTGTGTTAACAAAAGCCCAGTTTATTTTACATTTTTGAAGGCTGTCTTATGCGGTAGCTTTTCTTTTTAAGGAAAATCGTAGAGGCCCCTGGATGACCCTAAACCACAGCCTTCCAGTTAACAGCCGAAGCCACTACTGGATTACGCCGGTTGAAAATCAATGATAGTCTAAAATAAAGTTACCAGATTTCTTTCAAAGAATCCGGGGACACTTTTAAAAAAAGGGGGAGGGGGAATCTCAATTTTTTAAACTAACTTTTTAAAAATAAGTAATATCTTCTCTTCTGTGGTCTCCTCTGTTACGCGGCCTTCCTCCGGGTCCTGGCCTGCTCTCTTGGAGCACTAGCCGCCGTGGAGTAGACTCAGGTCGGGCCTGGGCTCGGCCTCATGTCCTTGCCCTCCCGGTGCTCTCCTACCTCTCTTCCTGAGCAGCGGCGGCAGCAGTGTGGCAAGGTCAGGGCACCACTCTTTTTTCTCCTTCCTCTTTCTCTCTCTTCCTCCTCTCCTCCCTGTGTTGGCTCCAGGGTTTTCCTGGCCCTGGAGCGCCGCTGGGCAGTTGGCTGCTCACACCCGGCTCAGTTTGGGTCACAGGGGGTGGGTCAGCGGTTACCCCAGTTGACCCACCAGGCATCCCCGGTTCCCCCTCGGCAGTGTTGGCGGCAGTGGCAGTCTCCGCAGCCCGGAAGCGCAGTTGGCTCTGGCTGGCTTCAGGACAGGAGCTGCTTGCTGCCATGGCACCCACCTTTTTGCCTCGCTGGAAGTCCCCATATGATGTGTCTTAGAATCATAGAATCATAGAGTTGGAATAGACCACAAGGGCCATCGAGTCCAACCCCCTGCCAAGCAGGAAACACCATCAGAGCACTCCTGACATATGGTTGTCAAGCCTCTGCTTAAAGACCTCCAAAGAAGGAGACTCCACCACACTCCTTGGCAGCAAATTCCACTGTCAAACAGCTCTTACTGTCAGGAAGTTCTTCCTAATGTTTAGGTGGAATCTTCTTTCTTGTAGTTTGGATCCATTGCTCCGTGTCCGCTTCTCTGGAGCAGCAGAAAACAACCTTTCTCCCTCCTCTATGTGACATCCTTTTATATATTTGAACATGGCTATCATATCACCCCTTAACCTCCTCTTCTCCAGGCTAAACATGCCCAGCTCCCTTAGCCGTTCCTCATAAGGCATCGTTTCCAGGCCTTTGACCATTTTGGTTGCCCTCCTCTGGACACGTTCCAGTTTGTCAGTGTCCTTCTTGAACTGTGGTGCCCAGAACTGGACACAGTACTCCAGGTGAGGTCTGACCAGAGCAGAATACAGTGGCACTATTACTTCCCTTGATCTAGATGCTATACTCCTATTGATGCAGCCCAGAATTGCATTGGCTTTTTTAGCTGCCGCGTCACACTGTTGGCTCATGTCAAGTTTGTGGTCAACCAAGGCTCCTAGATCCTTTTCACATGTACTGCTCTCAAGCCAGGTGTCACCCATCTTGTATTTGTGCCTCTCATTTTTTTGCCCAAGTGCAATACTTTTCTCCCTGTTAAAGTTCATCTTGTCTGTTTTGGCCCAGTTCTCTAATCTGTCAAGGTCGTTTTGAAGTGTGATCCTGTCCTCTGGGGTGTTAGCCACCGTTGAACCAATCACACGACATTCATTCCCTACTAATAAATCTACAACACTTAAAATATAATTCTGGGGACATTAAATGAAATCCGGGGATGGATTTTGTTCGGGAACAGATCTGTAAATCCAGGGACTGTCCCCCGGGAAACGGGGATGTCTGGTAACCATAGTTTAAAAGATGAAAAAGTAATTTTCTTTATTGACAAAACTTACCATACCATAACCACCCTTCTGAATCAAACCAAAGGTCCATTTAGTCGAATATTCTGTACTAACTAGTCGGCATCCTGATGCTTTTGAAAAAGTCCACCAGGAGAGTATGAAGACAACAGACCCGGCTCCTGCGCTCTCCCTCTCAACAACTGGTATTCACAGGTACACTGCACCTCAGAATGGAGGTTCCATCACTGATCTAATACCTGTTACTTTGTCAACCCTCCTTGTAAAACCACCTAGTCTTGTGACCATCATATCTACCGACAATACATTTCATGAATTACGTGTGGGCTTTCTTTTGTCGGTCCTCACACATAAATTTCGTGGGATAGACCTGAGTCCTTTCTGTGGAGGTTGAGTGGAAACTCCCTTTCCTATGTGTGTTGTTTTTTAATGAAGACTATGCAGCACCTTTATAGTAAAAATAGAAAAGATGTGTCTTTTTATTTAACTGGTGTATTTGACCATGGTCGCTGATGGATGGACTTTTGCTTAGAAACCGTATAAAACTGGTCAAGAAAACAATCGTTTCTCCCCGTCGGGGAATCGAACCCCGGTCTCCCGCGTGACAGGCGGGGATACTCACCACTATACTAACGAGGAAGACACAGTCAACCCTTCGGCAAAGCACCCTGCATTTCTGAATTACCACCTGGAAAGGGTCAATAAGTAACTAACTAACCCCTTTATAGCGCGCGAATTTAAAATGTTGAAATTGTCCCGTTATTTTATACTTTCAAGCAGCGTCGTTGGACACGTTTTGCCCTTACATAATTAAGGTTTTCTACTCACGCTTTCTCCACTCCTTCCTTCTAAAATACGTTGATATTTCGTATCTATAAGCAAACTGGATATTTTTTTAAAAAACTCTTGGAAATCACCGATTGTTAAATTATTAAACTTATTTAACTTGCATACATAAAACAAGCTCTAAAAGCTTTTAAAGGAACGTTTTTACTCTTTTCCTCCGCCCATCCAAACACACTCGCTAACTACAACTTGAAGCGCTGAATCTTATGAAAAAGTCGAGACATTACCCGCAGCACTTCACCCAAAGGCTGCTCTCCATACTGCGTACCAGGGTACCCTACAACTCCATACAATTGGATTATGCTGTAACTGATGTTAAAGCCACTGGGGCTGATGCATTTTATACACAAAAGCGTGATCAGATCTTTTACTAAGAAAGTGGGTGGCTCTTAAAAGAGCCTTTGGGTTTCTGTAGCACTTTCCCAGGCAACCGAAAAATGGGCGCCCAGCTCACTTGGAGCTGGTGTATTTGGTGACGGCCTTGGTGCCCTCGGAGACGGCGTGCTTGGCCAGCTCTCCGGGCAGCAGGAGTCGGACGGCGGTCTGGATCTCCCGGGAGGTGATGGTGGAGCGCTTGTTGTAATGCGCCAGGCGGGAAGCCTCGGCCGCGATGCGCTCGAAGATGTCGTTGACGAAGGAGTTCATGATGCTCATGGCCTTGGAGGAGATGCCCGTGTCCGGGTGGACCTGCTTGAGCACCTTGTAGACGTAGATGGAGTAGCTCTCCTTGCGGCTCTTCTTGCGCTTCTTGTCGCCCTTCTTCTGGGTCTTGGTAATGGCCTTCTTGGAGCCCTTCTTGGCCGCGGGAGCGGACTTGGCCGGCTCAGGCATCTTCAACAATCAGGTCACAACTTCCACAGAGCACAAGCAGTGAAAGAATGATGGGGCGATATTCCCCGTCCCTCTATTTATAGGCTGGATGATGCAAATAAAGTTTCCAAAGTTCTTAGTTACCATTGGACGAGAAGTACGCCACCCTTACGCTATTGGAAGAGAGCCCATGCATTTCAAATCTCGCGCTGCAATTGGATGTTTTAAAGAAACGTTTCTTATTGGCTTTTTTTTAACAACAGTTAATTCTCATTGGCTGGAGGCGGCACCATTTTGATAGCAGGCCAATCCCGTTTCCCGCTTCTTTGGTACAGTGGCACTTACTATCAGACCCCGATCTCTTCTCATTCTCTAGGGAACTTTCTGCCCTGTTGTATATACGGGTCCCGCGACAAAACTGTAAATTGGCAAAGTGCTGTTAAAAGTTGACTAATCGAAGTGTACGTTTCATACCCTAGTAAGAGCTTGCACTATATCCACACGACCCCCAGAAGGAAGAAGAATACTTGAGATTAAAATAAGAAAAAAGGCTCAGATGTTCTGAGGTTAAGCTCCAATATAGAGCCGAAATAGCTCAGTTGGGAGAGCGTTAGACTGAAGATCTAAAGGTCCCTGGTTCGATCCCGGGTTTCGGCAGATATTTTTTGGCCTTTGGTTCAGTTTGCTGAACTTTCAATTTCCTAGTACTGTATTTTATGAAGTTTTTGCTGTTCCTAAATTTTGAGTGTTCCTAAATTTTATGCGTTAATGTCTACTTCTGCTAAAAAAATACATCCAGAAATTGCACATTTAAACGCAGACGAACGGTTGGAAATGCCTGAAGGTGTGTGTTTTAAGCACAGAATATTTTAGTTCAGTTTTCCTTTGCAACTGTTGTATGTTGAAACTACAAAATTCTTAGATTTACAATCTAATGCACGTCTTCAATCTTGAGTGCGGTAAATTTAGCTGCAAGCATATTTTCTAGCCTTACAATAAATAAGCTTAAAATCGTGCTGCAAACCTTGTATTTTTTTATATAATGTAGAAATAATTTTAAAATCACTTAACAGTGGCAGTTGCATAAGTATTGTGAACCTACCCAATACTCCACAATGCAGTTGAAAGGAAGCTACGTTGGAGACGCCCACTTGGCCCCAACTCATAATTAATGTATTAGTGCAAAACGAAAATCCAAGCACGTATTTGTAATCGCTTCTGAAAACAAAAGTATTATCGGTTTTTTAGGAAAATGTGGGCAACCCACCGCTACAGAAGGCAACGAGAATTCAGAAATATTTAAGAGGAAAATACATACAAGCAAATTGAGCTTACCACTATCGGAACAAAATAACCAGGGCTCTTTATACTGTAAAGTAAAAGATTCGATGCCTCGAGCTAGGTTTCTATGTATTTTGGGTATTATTCCAGTAATTCCAGTGCGTTAGGTAAAATAGCGTTAGCGATTGGCTCTTTTCAGGTAAAGGTGGGTGGCCCTGAAAAGGACCTTTTGTTGACGTTTTGGTCTGTGGAAGCGGAGGAGCCTTAGCCGCCGAAGCCGTACAGAGTGCGGCCCTGGCGCTTGAGAGCGTAGACCACGTCCATGGCGGTGACCGTCTTCCTCTTGGCGTGCTCGGTGTAGGTGACGGCGTCGCGGATGACGTTCTCGAGGAAGACCTTGAGGACGCCGCGGGTCTCCTCATAAATGAGCCCGGAGATGCGCTTGACTCCTCCGCGGCGAGCGAGCCGACGAATGGCGGGCTTGGTGATGCCCTGGATGTTGTCGCGGAGCACTTTGCGGTGCCTCTTGGCGCCTCCTTTCCCCAACCCCTTGCCTCCCTTTCCACGTCCTGACATCTTCTTAACGAACTGCTTCCAACGCAGGAGAGAAATGTGAAGCGGCTCCCGAAAAAGCGCCTTTAAATAGTTAGGAATCCGACCAGAATGAAAACTTCAACAATGAGCCGCGTATTTGCACACAGGTCACGCCGCCGTGCGCATTAACTGACGCTACCCAATCAACGATGAACAGGTATTTCAAACTAACCAATCAAACACTCTCCGGCAAATAGTAGCGGAAGCGCTATTTGGCGCCTATCTCGGTCTTTGATCAAAAGAGGATTTTTGTGCAGTCCTGGCGTATGCGTGCTTTTGGGCGGAAGTAAAAATCCCGCTTGAAGTTACCGCTTCGAGAATAGTATCCTATTCATTCTCGACCTAGCCTCCTTCAGGCGAGGAGGGACTATTGATTTGGCTTCGTGGGAGCGGGATTTCCCTTTTTAATTGCTAATTTTTCCTCCACATCCTGCTGTGTGGACAACATGAATCTGCTGGTACGAAAATAAATGTAAGGAAGCAGGCATCGCCTCCGCTGTAAATAGACAGATGCATGTGGTGATTAAAAGTAAAAATATAGGTTCGGATTTTAGCTTTTAGAGAAAACCATCTTTAGTTCCTAAAGTCAACCACAGAATTCGCAGTACGTGCAGCACCACCGACAAAAATAATACCCACACTCCAGTAGAGCGTGGGAGCTGTTTTCAATTTGGTGCTCAAAACGTACAGGTGAGGGGATACTATGAGGGAGAAGGGTATGGCACGTATCCAACGTTACAGGAACGGGGTTCCACCCTTCTCTCCCTGCGCGTCAGACAAGCCTCTGGAGCACATTTCGAGGGCGCATGGGTAGAGGAGAAAATAATGTTCAAAGGGAAGTGTGAGCGGCACAATAGCGTTTTCTTCAATCCCAGAATCTAAATTGCTTTCGCATTTGCAGCGGCACAAAAGTCATCTCCTCATCACCAGCACACTCAGTTTTCAGAATGATTCTCTAATTTGGGGAGTTTCATTAGTTTTACGATGGACAGAAAACTATGCCCTCTAAGGTTCTGCAGTAGTAACGCCCCCTTTCGCTGGCTGTCGCTGGAACAGAAGAGGGGGTCCGTCGCTCTGTGGGGAGAGGATAGAGCACAAGCAGGCTTTGAGTGCAGGCAAAGGGATCCTGCGTTCAATGACAGGCAGGACTGAGAAGTAAAAACCTGGGCTAGAGCTAGATGGACCCGTTGCCAGGCTTGGGAAATGACAGGTTCTTATATAGAGCAGCGACTATATATAGCTCTTACAAGGAAACTGGGCTGCTTAAATGGGGTCAATAGGGGTCATTTTTCTAACGAGAAGGAAAGCTTCACATGATAAACCAACGTTAGTCAATAAGTGTATTGATCTATAGGGTGATTCAGGGAGTAGAAGTAATTAATTCCTTATACTGAGGTTATAATCCCCCCTGTGGAAGGATGTGTGGATCCAGAATTGGCCTCCACAGTCACTTACAGACTCATTGTTAAAACTGTGTTTATGGAAGACAATCTTACTCAGCTACGAGTGATCGCCAAATAAGAAAAGAATAATCGAAAGGTATTTTATCCCTAATGGTCAAGTACGTTATAGTCTTTGAGAGAAGGAAAAGACACACTGTAGGGCACCCACCTCCTATTTCAGCTCTGTATGTTTTTCAAGGCTCAGATGAATTCTACTGAATCCGAGTTTTACAAAGTTCCTTTGGAAAAAGCAATGTGTGTGCGCACACACTCTTTCTGCCTGTGTGTGGGAGCTTGATCCAAGGAAGAAAGACGACAAAGGTAACCAGAGAAATCCAAATGGCCTAAAACGATTGGAGACCTCTGTTCAGGTATTCCTGGATGGGTGTTGATTGACACTTAGTAAACACAAATCCATAGTGGAGAGTGTTGTTGTGCTCAGGTCTTGGTTGGGAACCTGGTGGAACAGAATCCTTGACTATATGGGTCTTTTTTAGCCTGATCCAGCAGGGGGATTCCTACAATTTTATGGGATTGCTGGAGTACACGGGCCCTTGGTCTGTTGTAGCAGCTTTCTTGCTCTGCTAAGTGTTACACCGTTTTAGGAGTGAAAAAGCAGCCAGCACGCCTCACCCTGAATATCTAAAACCATCCAGGTAGCTTATGCCAGATAATTTGTAGGAGAAATAAAGAGGAGTCCATCGCACTGTCAAGATCAGGCAGGGCAGAATGTATCAACTTGTCCTCATTCCTCCCAAGTGATGGGATCTGGCTGAAGAGCCCTTCGCATGGCTGTGACCAAAGACATCCACCTCTGCTGTAATGAGAGCAGAAGCTCAGGACCAAGCGTTGAATAAAAGCCTGTTGCAACTCTGCCCAGGGCACACTCCTCACCAAGGCCCTGTTCTGCTTATTGGAGGATATTTGCATAGATGTCATGTGCCCTTGACCTGTATTAAGTCTTTGCCTTGCAAGGTAGAAGATTTGGGGGGGGTGGTATTTTATATTACCAACTGCCCCAGCCCTACTTCACCACTAGCATGTGGTCCCTTGCAATACTATCCATGAGGCAATGCAGCCCTCTGGATGGAAAAAAACCACCACACATTCCCAACCCTAACTTGGGGCAAACTGACTAGAAGCCGACATTTTTCTGCAAAAGGCTGGGCCAACTTTATCCATTGCAAGTGCTTCACTTAGTTCTCATATTTCGGCTATTTGTGGCTATGCTTTTATGCTCCACACATGAAGGCTAAGTGTAAAAGGAAACTACGGCTTTTATTAGCATTATTTTATTAAATTTGTATACCACCCAGTACCCGTAGAACCACAAACAGGGTTGGGGGCATCAATTACTGTTTGATATTGACTTATTGTAAGCATTTAGAGGAACAGCTGGATCTGTTTTATGCAGCTGCTTAGATTTAAATGTTTGGTGTTCCCCTATTCTGGTGTGTCAATATCATTGCTTTCAAACTCTGGAAGTTCAGCAACACCCAAAACATTCATTTTAATTGAGTGGCTTTCTGTACATTCATGTTGGATATCTTACTCTACAAATCATTTTCCTTGGCTCAGTGTTTAGACCCTGGGATGTTCACTTATGCCATCATGTATACAAGGGAGATTGAGGAGGCCAGACCATGCCAAATGCACAACACACATTGCAGTTAGGAACACAGAAGTCATTGCCTCAGCAACGCTTGCAGCCAAGTGCTTTTTTAAAACATTACTAACCACCACGTTTGCATCTTAACTATGAAGCGTGGTTCTCACACGTTCTAACCCATGGGTAGGCATGGGTAAAACCTCAGCGCCTAGGACTTGCCGATCGTATGGTCGGCGGTTCGAATCCCCGCGGCGGGGTGAGCTCCAGTCGTTCGGTCCCAGCTCCTGCCCACCTAGCAGTTCGAAAGCACTTTTAAGTGCAAGTAGATAAATAGGGACCGCTTTATAGCGGGAAGGTAAACGGCGTTTCCGTGTGCTGCGCTGGTGCCGGCTCGCCAGAGCAGCTTCGTCACGCTGGCCACGTGACCCGGAAGTGTCTCCGGACAGCGCTGGCCCCCGGCCTCTTAAGCGAGATGGGCGCGCAACCCCAGAGTCGGACACGACTGGCCCGTACGGGCAGGGGTACCTTTAACACCTTCTTAAAAGGGGACACGATTCGAATCTGGCCTCAGAGTACTGAAGGGTCAGCCTTTGCAGCTAAGAAGTGTAACGTCACACATTCGCACAGCCCACACCCGAAGGCGCTCCCTCCCCACAAATAAACAAGAGGCAAGCCATCTAAAAACAATACGTCCTTTTTAATTGTTAAGTCAATAAAGAGGTATCAAAATTAAAAGAGGAGAATTACAGGGGATTTAACTGAACTACTAGGAGAGATTTCGGGGGTCTGGCCGGGGGGAGGAGAAAGAAAGAACAAATGCAACAGAAGACACGCCATGAACACACGGGGCTCTGGGAAGGAGGGAGGGAAGAGGGCAGTGAGGAGGCAGCCGACAAGGGGCTGGTGAGAGGCTCAATATCAGAAGAACGTCGGTGTTTGTTGAGGAGGAGAGAGGAGAGGTGTGCTGGGCGCTTAGGAGTCGTCTTCGCCATTGGCGCTGTCTCTGTCGTCTTCGCCTTCTTCGGGCTCCTTGTCATCCCCCTCGATGGACTCCAGCTGAGAGAGAGAAGGGGACAGGCAGAGGGGCCGAGTTAGCAAACAGGGAGAGCCGCGCTCCTCACTCCTGGCTCTCTGCCGCCTCCAGCTTCGTACCTGGTCGTCTCCCCGGTCTTCATTGTCGTCATTGTCCAGCAGGTCCCCTTCCTCAGCGGAGTCATCCGCCCCAGTCTCAGACTCCATCTTGACATTGCTCTCTTCTTTCTTGGCCGAGCTGCTGCTTTGCTCCTCCTCAGACTTGTCATTCTTCAGTTCTAGGAAGGGAGGATATAGAGAGGAGGGGTCCAGCAGGGTATCGGAACCGCTCGCCTGCTCTCCTAAGCTCTCGGGGCTGCCGCCCCACGTGGAGTTTTCCTACATCAAGACTCGTCAAGCCAACCACACGCCTCTGGCGAGCCGGAACCGTCCCAGAGGCAGAAGAGCTTTTATAAGCCGGAAGGAGGTTGGTTCTTCCTAGACAGGCCACCTATGCAAAGGCATGAAGGGGCCGGCAGCTCGCGACATATCTGTGATCAAGCAGCTGCCATGGGTTCATTTGCAAGGCTGTTGTGGAGAACTATGGCTGTACACAAAGGGCTTTGGCAAGGTGGCTGCTCTCCCCACCGACAATATAGAGGAGGGGCTAGAGCGCTGCCCTCCTAGCTATGGAAAGCAGTTAAATTGAAGAGCAGCGAAGGAGCATCACAAGGTTGCTCTCCTGGAAACCCCAAACCAAAGCCCACCTAGAAAACCACCACGATTACGCATGTCAGATATACATCCCCAGACAGCCCATGTCCCTCCCAAACAAGGTGCTCTCTTTATTGGGGAGGAAACATAAAACCTGAAGAGATGCTTCAAGCCAAATTCCCACAACCTTCAGCCCCCCAAAAGACCCAAGCCCATGAAG